CGATAAGGATTCTGGTGTATAGGCCTTGCTGCGTCGTGGGTAATTATTCGATGCTTTGTTAGCGGCGTTCGACCGACCCGTGATGTCGATGAAAAGCAGTCCTGGAATTCAGCTAGCAGCTCAAGAAGTCTAGTTCGTTCGTCCCTTGACAACGTAGTACCAACGTCAAGATTAGGTAGTCATTCTTCTTGAGGTGCTTCGTCTAGGGCCGATAAACTGCCTTGGATTTCTGCAGTAGTGTCAAAGTAAGCGACGATTGTACCCTTCGGGAGATGTCGGCGCTCAGTGCTGAAGTTAGTGAGCAGCAAGTCTGTGCGTCCAGCAGTGACAGTGACAAGACCTCGAGCAACTGAAATACCGTGGCTAAATATCAGTGAGCTTATTTGGTCAGCAATGCCGTCGCCGTCAAACGGCTCATCCCCTGCCACCGAAACAAGCGTACACGATCGTGGCGGGACGACCACATCGTCATCCGTCAGACGCAAAGGCCCTGAACAAGACGTATGTCTCAGCTCTGAACAATCGACTAAAGTAGGGCTGTTGTTGCGAAATGTAATGACACTATCAGGGATGTTGATCACGGCGCCATGTTCTCTCAAGAAATCCATTCCGATAATCGGGTCTTTACAGCATGAAGCGAGAACGACGAACGTCGCCACGAAAGTAGAGCCACCGATGTCGAGCCTTGCTGTGCACATTCCGACAGGCATCAGTAATTGGCCGCCTGCCGTCCTTAAGTGAGGTCCCGTCCACGCTGTCTTTACTTTCTTGAGGCGTACGGCAAGGTCATCACTGATAATAGAGAAGTCAGCCCCGGTGTCGACTAAAGCTTTGACTTGCTGTCCATCCACAAGAACGGTAAGGCCCGGGGTCACGGTTTCGTCGGTATAACGTCTTGTCGGCTTTACAGCGTCCTGAGGTGGGAGTAATGGGGGCTTTTTTTCTTCGTCTTGACAGCCTGCAACCTTACCCCCTGAGGTCGCCGCCTTCAGTTTCCCCGGTGTGGGCTGGGTGACCTCGCTCCTCTGGTGTCGGAAAAAGTGCGGCGCTGCAACGAAGGTGACTGGGCAGGAGAAGGAGAGCGTGGTCGATGTCGGAAGACCGGCTCGTAATCAGTTGTAGCCTCGTCATCATTGTTACGGCGGCCGTCGAATGGGTGTCGAGGTACCGGAGGTCCTTGAGAACCGACATCTCCACGGCGGGGATATGTACTCGTTGGCATGTCGAATGTCAAACCCTGGCCTGAGAGGGCGAGACGGATCGGCGCGGTGCCAGCAATAGCGGGCTATGTGGCCTACACCTCCGCAGTTGAAACAGAGTGGACGCCTGTCGGCAGTGCGCCAGGTGTCTGTTCGGCGAAGCTGTGGTTGCCGTGATGACTCCTCACGCGACGAAGGCCATGGCAAGCCAGAAGACGACTGGTCGTATGGGGGCTGGATGGATGGGCGCCACGATGTCTCCCCTTGTGGTGGTGACCAAGGAACAGTTGCAGGTGGCGGGTAGTATGAAGGCGGAGCGGGTGGGGAGCTTCGAAGGGCGGCGGCGTACGTCATGGAACGTTGTTCGGGGGCAGGATCAGCTGTCGAGAATGCTTGGCGGATTTCGTCACGGACGACTTGAGCGACGGGTGCCATGGGTGTATCCACTACCGGAGTCCGCAGCCTTTGCAATTCTTCACGAACAATCTCTCTAATTATGTCACGTAAGGGGCCATGACTGTCAAACGTCACAGCGGCGGCCTGAGTTTGGGGGCTGCTGCACAAGCGGTCATATTGTCGGCAGCGTTGGTGAAGGGCCCGCTCGATAGCCGACGCTTCTTTGATGAAGTTCTCGACTGTGCTTGGCGGGTTGCGCAGAAGTCCGGCGAACAGCTGCTCTTTCACGCCGCGCATGAGGTAGCGCAACTTCCTATCTTCAGTCATCTGCGGGTCAGCCCTCCGAAATAAACGTGTCATGTCTTCGGCGAACATGGCGACCGTTTCATTGGGTTTTTGGACCCTTAGCTCTAGTAGTTGGTGGGCGCGGTCACGTCTGTCGACATTGGCAAAAGTTTCAACCATCTTCTGGTGAAAGTCGGTCCATGTGGACAGGTTGCCTTCTCTGTTCTCGTACCAAGTACGAGCGCTGTCATCGAGATAGAAGTAGGCCCGGCCGAGCTTTTCCTGAGCAGACCAGTGGTTGATCTTCGCAACACGGTCATAGTGGTCTAACCAGTCTTCTACATCTTCGTGTGCGCCACCACCAAAGCGTTTAGGCTCCAGCGATTGAAAAAACGTTACCTGGGATGGAGCGGGAGCACTGGTGCCGAGAAGTACAGGCTGGGGGCTGGTGTTAGCCATTTCTAGATGTCTGGTAGAGGTTTTCTGCGAGGGGTTGCAGTCTGGAGGAATACCTCGTAGCCGACGACTGAATCGATGAACAGGGGTTGCAGTAGGCACGTCCGGGCTGGATGAACGGCTCCCACTAGGACTGTGAAGCATCGGGCAGCGTCACGGCCCAGCTCCTCCACCAGTGTCTCAGTGCAACGCGAACAAAAGATGACAGCAGCTTACGGCAGCGAAAAGAGCGTATTCAGGATCAGCTGTACAGCAAGATGCCTGCTTCGTTGTCGTCCCGAAAAACCACCTGACCCACTAGCTGGAATCTACAAAACATTCCTATCATCGTTCTTTTTCATATAAACACGTGTCAATATATAAACATTCTGGAAGAAATCTACAGGGGATCAACTGCTACCATAGTGCTTCATAAAGAAAGCAACAGAATACCAATCAAGAAGGGTGTAAGGCAGGGGGACACAATTTCCCCAATGCTATTTACCGCGTGCTTACAGGAGGTTTTCAGAAGCCTAGAATGGGAACAGTTAGGGATAAGAGTCAATGGAGAATACCTTAGTAACCTGCGCTTCGCCGATGACATTGCATTGCTGAGTAACTCGGGGGACGAATTGCAACTCATGATTACGGAGTTAGACAAGGAGAGCAGAAAGGTGGGTCTTAAAATTAATCTGCAGAAAACGAAAGTAATGTACAACAACCTCGGCAAGGAGCAGCGCTTCGAGATAGGTAATAGTGCACTTGAAGTTGTAAAAGACTATGTCTACTTAGGGCAGGTAATAACCGCAGAGCCGAACCACGAGATTGAAGTAACTAGAAGAATAAGAATGGGGTGGAGCACATTCGGCAAGCACTCTCAAATTATGACAGGTAGATTGCCACTATCCCTCAAGAGGAAGGTATATAACAGCTGTATCTTGCCGGTACTTAGCTACGGAGCAGAAACCTGGAGACTTACAAAGAGGGTTCAGCTTAAATTGAGGACGACGCAGCGAGCAATGGAAAGAAAAATGGTAGGTGTAACCTTAAGAGACAAGAAGGGAGCAGAGTGGATTAGGGAACAAACGGGGGTTAAGGATATCATAGCTGAAATCAAGAAGAAGAAATGGACATGGGCAGGGCATGTAGCGCGTAGACAGGATAACCGCTGGTCATTAAGGGTAACTGACTGGATTCCCAGAGAAGGGAAGCGGGTTAGGGGGAGACAGAAGGTTAGGTGAGCAGATGAGATTAAGAAGTTTGCGGGTATAAATTGGCAGCAGCAAGCACAGGACCGGGTTAACTAGCGGAACATGGGAGAGGCCTTTATCCTGCAGTGGACGTAGTCAGGCTGATGTGATGATGATGATGATGATGAGTTGTACGGTGAAAAACAGCTGGAAGAAACCCACTGTCTGGACGAAGCGCCGTGTGTTCCTCTGGAGCACGCCTCCGAAATCGATCTCTGGGTTTTGTCTTGGAGGACATGGCACCCGCTTGAAAGATGTCGGCCAGAAATCATGTCCATAGAACGTCGAGACCCTTAAAATGAGTAAAATTGCTGTGAGTACACTCTCCGCCATCCGTAACTACTAATTAGACAACAAAATGTGCGCTACACATATAGCCAAAACTCACTCGCCAGATATTGCTGCTTGACTTGATGATAGCCAAAACTCACTCGCTAGATATTGCTGCTTGACTTGATGCATCCTTGTCATCAGGGCTGAAATTTGGTTGGTCAACATCTTCTCCAGACTCACTGCTGCTGATTTCGTCCTCAAAATCTGCTCTTGATGCGCTTGATTTGTGAGAAACGCATCGTCCTTTAGGAACGTCCACGCGGGGAAAAAGGTCATAATTGAAATGCTCACGTAGCAACCTGAAACTTCTTGTGGCGAGGAAAAAACTTCCTTAAAGCAAAGAACAATCACAACATCGCTGACCTCGTTGTGCAATTCTCACTTTCTTACCTAGATGGCATTAGGCACTCTCAAACTCTGCGAGCGCACGAAAATATAAACTTGAAAATGCATTTTTTCAAGTTGAATGATTTGAATGGGTGTGGTAGCAAAAGAGTTAGTGTACTGTTCTTTGATAGTATATATCTTATTTTTATGGTACAATTCTAACGGCATTGTCATGATTTTATTACAGTAGACTCAGAACTATTGCCTCTGTAATGCTTGGTTTTGGGCTTGTATTCTACATTCATGTTCACCTCTCAGTAAACGGAACTCCTGTTGAATGGAACATCTTTTCCTGATCTCTTCAGGTTCCGTTTACTGAGAGTCTACTGTATATCTGTTTTGTACATGTTTATTGTGCAGGAATTTAGGTCCCTGTACAGTCACCTTTCATCTTCGTGTTGTCATCAATCACACGAACCACACAACTGACCTTTGCCCTCTTAGGCACCATATACCATCACAACCATAATTTCATTATATCATGTTTTGTTTTAACGAAGTTAAAACAAACCTATTAGATTAGCACCACTCATTAATGTTTATTTTAATTAGACTACTTTATGTTGGTTCCGCTCAGGCGGCCAGTTAGCACACGCTAAAAGTGTTCCTTGTAACGTGACTTGCACAGTATATGCTATGTGGCAGAGACAAACTGCCTTGGTGTGCCTCTGTAGTATACGTGGTCTTGAATTGCGCCTTTTCTTCCTTTGCACAGAAACCACAAGATACACGAGCTGCAGGAGCGTGCAGCTCCTTCGCCATCTCCACATGTCCCAGGGGAACGCCCTCCGAAAGGGGGTCCTCCGGAGAAAGGTCCTCCATCATCGCGGGGTGTCGTTGGAGGGGAGGGGTCATCCTCGGTGGTGGGACCGCCACCCGTTGTGATGGGGAGTGCTGCTGACCTGACCAAGGGTGTGCTCGGTCCAGGCTCTGCAGCCATGGGTCCGCAAGGCCCCGGCAGCCTACCGCCGGGAGTGGCTGTACCTCCTGGTGGTGTGACGGGTGCACCGAGCACTGCCACTGAGGGGTCTTCCCGATCACCTCCACCCCAGAGGCACCTTCACACGCATCACCACACCCATGTGGGAGTGGGCTACCCCATTTACGACCCATATGGAGGTATGTCTGTGCGCCTGGGATGCTGGCACCTTTTTTTTTTTTCCTTTTTTTTTTCAGCGTTGTATGTGTTGCATGATGTTGTTCGTAATGTCTGTGACCATGGAATAAACAAGGCATGCCATTTCGTTACATGAGGAAATGAAGAAAGGTCAGTCTGAGGTAGAATTGACTGTCCTGCGGATGCAATGGAGAAAAGGAAAGGAGGCGATATAATAATTTCTGGGGCATCACTAGCCGAAATTACAATATATTGTTGAGGCACTCTGTGGTGGACGGCTTTGTAAATTATTACCGTCTGGGCTTCTTCAATGTGCATTGATATTGCACGGTGCATGGTCCTCAAACATACTGCTTTCATTGAAGTGCAACTGTCACGGCCAGGACCTAACCCATGTATTTAGTGTCAGCGGGCAAGTGCCCTTGTGACTGGAAAATATATTAAACAGTAGTGTTCAAAGATGTTGAGGATGGGAAGAATGGATGTGCATATGCAATAGCCATAAAACATTGTACACACAGTAATACACTCAAACCTCATTATACGAAGTTGAAGGGCAGCCACAGTTATTTCGTTATATAGATTATAACAGTTTGTGGCAATGTATGCTCAGATAGGCGCACACCTATAAGCATGCAAAGAAGGAAACTGTCTTGCGGCATGATGTACTGCTACACGACTACACGTGCGAAGGACAAAAAAATTGAGGAATCTTATTAATTCGAACACGCTTAATTCAAACTTCTGGTTAATTGGAACTCGCACTGTGGTCCCGTCAAAGCTATGTGTATTGCAGTGGGCGCAAACACCCTGCAATTCGAATGCACAAGCACTTGTGACTGTCAATTCGAACATACCGCGCTCCGAAAGTGCTCTCAGCACTATGCCCAATCCCGCGGCAGCATCTCTCAACGCTGCACGCGAAGGAAAAAAAAAGAAAAGAAAAGACTTTGGCAGATTGTTTGCTCTCTTTCAAATACTGATCTGCGACGCGCCTGTGCCACGCTTCTCCCTTTTTTGTCTCTGCACGTAGAGACCCTTCTCCTTTCAGGGCCGCATGTGGAGAGGAGGAAAAAAAGGAAACTGTTGTGGAGAGTCCTCCTTTCTCGGTGCAAAGGGTAGCAGCGGAGACGCAGTCGTTGCCGTTGTCTCTAGAAAGTGTTGGCGCTGGACTTAGCCGCGCGCTACTATGCTTTGCAAACTATGGGCGAAATCGATTGCCTCGCTGCAAGGCAAACATGTGCAGACGCGCATCACCGATTACTTCAATTAATTACGGATGTCCTCTGATTTGTGAATAAATGTAAGTCTTCTGAAGCATCCCCATTGTGTGTTCTTATAAGTGAGAGGGAAGTCGCTTTGTATCGCGGCGCCGCTTCTTGGCCATGTGACCCGCTGAGCGCTTCTTCAATCCTTTCCGCTGGCTGTGTGATGAGGGCTCTCTCAACCGCGCGTGGCGTGGCTGTAAGGTCGGCGCGGGAGTTTTGAAAGAGTCACGCCGAACGAGCGTCAAAATCCGCAGAAAACGATATAATTAGTACATTGCCGTGATTTTTTCGTAGACTGTTTGATAGACTAATTTAGTTTGTTATATCCATTTACCAATCAATTTTAATTCATTACAATGAGGTTTAAAATGCATGGTTCTCAGTGGAGCTTTCAAGGGGAATTTCATTTCGTTATATCCATTATTTTGTTATATCTCATTACGTTATAATGAGGTTTGAGTGTACCAAGTTGAGACGGCAGTTAACTGCTCCATGATTCCTGTGGCATTAGCGTAGTCACAGTTTACAAGGTGTGCTTTGGTTCTGGGTGTGATCTGTATGTAGATAAATGACTGTAAAAAGAATCTTGACTGTAAAAAGAATTTTTACAGACACAAAGTTTTGAAGGTAATATCTGCGTGGACACATGCATCTTCTTCGAAATATCAGTGGATAATGTAGCCTAAATCATATTCAAATTTCATTTCGAACTGCATGTCGCAACATCACAGGCGAACACGCCTCTGGTTTTTTTTGTAGACGGCAAAGCACCACCTGCATCACGAGTTTATGTTGGCTGCCGCGAGCACTCTGTTTTAGCAGACCTTCTCAACATAAAGAGGGGGCATGCTTGTGCAACATGAGTGCAAAAGCTGACGTCTATGCCTTGGAAGTGCATTTTGTAGGGGATCACACATATTTACAATGTCTTGACTGAAGGGGGTCTTGCTTGGAAAAAAAAAAAAAAAAGCTGTCAACGGAGTGTTATGTAGCCAGCTATGTTTACATCAGTGATGATCCAACTGCGCCAATTGCGTCGTTTTGCTACAATTTCATATCTCTTCACATTACTGCGCACATTCGAATACAGCTTGTGCCAACTGCACCAAAGTTCGCTAGTCCGCATTTGTTGTACACAACGTCGGACCGTTTATGGCACAAAACTATTTTTGGCTTTTTTCACAATGCCGCTGCTAAACAAAGTGTCTGCGCCTCTGCGTGTGTCTCCGTTGTTAAAAGTTTAGCATGCCGTTGATAGCCTCTCTTATTTGTTATAGAACTGGCAATAACGCGTAGAAAAGTCGCTCCGGCTACCGTAATGTAGTCACCGTAGCCAATTTGCGACAGGTATTGGCTCTGCGTGCTAGAAACTTTCTATTCCCGCAATTTTTTCGCGGCTGCATTTTCGGTGAAGGTGTTAATACTGAGGTGCGTGTACCTAGATTTAGGTGCACGTTGAAGCACCCGAGGTAGTCGAACCTCTGGAGCACTCCTCTACGGCGTCTATCATAATCATATAGTGGTTTTAGGACGTTAAACACCTGCTATTACCAATATCAAAGCACAGAAGTGCATAAGGGGCAATGCGTGAGGTGACAGCCCATGCTAAGGTGGCACCATCTCGCGGCTGTCGATACCAACTGCGGCAGCTATGGCTCCTCCCTGAACACACTATCCCATATTCTAGTACACTATACTTCGAGCAAAAAACAAACTGCCGCCATTTTGAAATAGGCCTTCGTTGTCGATCATCGTGTGCGATGCCTAACGAATATCTGAAATTTCGCACGGTGCACAAGTACGGCAAATCGTGACGAAAGCTTGTCGCGAAGCGAAAACATGCGTCTTTGCCATCGGCGGAACCGACTGTGTACCTTGGATCAGCATCAGATAACCCTACGGCACCGGAACACGAACTGCCTACTGATGCGCACGCCGTGGGCTTCGCCTCGATGGTTGCGACAGCGGCCATGCCGGACACCTAAGCGCACAAGATTGGATTTCGCTTTTTTAACAAGTGTAGATTGTGCTTTGCGTGAGCAACAGACGCAACAGAGACTTTCCAAACTGTCGTCAGTATCGGCGACAGAAAGGAAAATGACGTGCATCGCGAGTATCAGTGCTCCGAGTTCGACCACGACGTATACAGTTGTTGAGGCAAGGTTCTGTTTGGCATTGCATAAGTTGTTGCCAAAATGCCATCAGATTTGGGGGAGAAATTGGCTTCTGTAGTTGTGGCTTCCCCGTGATGGTTTGGTGTTGTCCGCGGTGCATTTTGCGAGTGCATAAGCAACGCTGGCCGTTTTAATTGATGGAATGAACCAGGCCTTACAGACGTTCGGACACGTTTTTTTGCTCTGTGCGCAGCTGTGCAATTAAGAGATCGCGTCTCGGTATTAAGGACGACGGGGAAAACTGAATGTAGTCGCAGCAGGTGGTGCACTGCCCCCCCTCTCCCCTAGCTAGGGGAAGCGTAGCGTCCCCGTAGTGGCGCGCGGTCGACACGGCACGATCAGTTGTGAAAAAAAAAAAAAGAAGTGGGGGGGGGGGGGGGCAGTGCACCACTTGCGTCGTTGCTTCTCTAACTCAGAGACACGATCTCTTAATTGCACAGCAGCACACATGACACATAGCAAGAGAACACAGCAGCACACATAGCGTCCCTTGCTGGGTTCGGCAAGGTGCGATTGCGGCCCGCATGTGGCCCGCAAGCGCTGGTTTCGAGGCTACGATGTCGCTGCGATCGTGTGTTGCGGCTTGCAGCAGGACAAACGCTATTCTAAATCTCGTATGGCACCCGCAGTGCTTGCAAATGGTATTCTAAAACACCCTATTGTGAATAATCTTTTCAAAGTTGGCAGTTGTCGTGTGAGTCATGGTAAACTTACTATTGCAAGAGACACGCGTGAGTACGGCATCGCTGTGAAATTGATAGTGTCCTGCAGCAATTGCGGTGAACTGGGATCGCAGTGGAACTCGCGGCGAGTTTCTGGCTCGGCGACACGTAATCCTTTCGAAATAAACATTCTCGCTGCGGGGGCAGTGCAGAGCATGGGGAACGGACAGACTGCCTAAATGATATTTTTTCCGCAATTGAAGTTTCCCACAGAGGTATTCACAATAAGACCTACCAGAATTACTTGAAGACCAAGCTGAACCCAGCATTCGCAAGAGCATGCACCAAGAACTTTGAAAAGTGTGTTGCCGAAGTGAAACTGCTGTACGGTGAGCTGAATTTTGGAAATCCGGATAATATTGCTGTTTGTTTTAATGGCACATGGCACACACGCGATCTCTCATCTCACACTGGAGTGGCCACTGTCGTTGAACTATTTACCGGATATGTGCTAGATTTTGTGGTCCTTTCTAATTTCTGCCTCCGCTGTGAGTGTGGGCCACAACCAGATAGCCCAGATTATGCTGCATGGAAAGCAGGGCACTTCTGCCGAAACCCACAAGCTGCAAGGCAGGCTAGATGGAAGTTGAGGCAGCAAAGATTCTCTTTCAACGTTCACTCTTTTTGCATGGCCTCCGATATACTACCAATATACTACCATGCTGTGTTATGGCGACAGCCGGTCTTTCATTGCCATTGATGAAGCCAAAGTTTATGGCTTTATTCCTGTGGTCAAAGAAGAGTGCACCAATCACATTCAGAAGCGAATGGGCACAGCGCTTCACATCTTTGTGCAAAAGCACAAGTCAGGAGATGGACAGCGCATTAGCGGTAAAGA